CGAGCCCGCGGGTTCGAGACCCGCCTGGGCAGCGAGACCTCATCTCTACAATAAATCAAAAACTCAGCTGGGCGTGGTAGCGCACGCCTGTAATTCCGGCTACTCGGAAGGCTGAGGAGGAAGGATCGCCGGAGCCCAGCAGGTCGAGGCTACGGTGGCCGGGAGCGGCCACTGCACTCCAGTCTGGGCGACAGAGTGAGACTCCAACTCAAAAAAAAAAAAAAAAAAAAAAAAGAATACACACACAAAAAAACAAAAAAACAACAACAACAAAAAAAGATACATGTCCAGACAGGAATTAGCAAACTTGGGTAAATGGTATGCTAAGTTTCTGACACCTTTTCTTTCTGGCATGCTCTGCAGAGCAGACAGGATAAATCATATTTTCATTGCTCACTGGGCGAAGGGCAGGGAAGCAGGGCCACTCATTCTTAGACTATGATCGGGGGAGCTCCAGAGGCATAGCTGATCACACACTCTGATTCCTGTATTCTCACAAGCATCTGAGAAGGGTGTGCCAACATCCAGTAGTATACTAGACAAAATCAGCCAAGATCTTTGAGTAAAGCTTAGTTTAAAACCTTTGAAATTAGAGACCCAAATTGAAGAAAGGCTGATTGTTTCTCCTAGGGAGCATGCCAGAAACAGAGAGAGGTAATGTAGGATCTTGGCTAGAGCTGGAGATGAGAACCCAGGAGATCTGGGGTCAGGCCAATCTGTGGAATTGCAGACTTGCAGAAGTTAAGCAGGGTTCATGAGAGGCTGGGGCTTCTCAGAGGAAATAAAATTTAGTTGAATGGGTTTCTTTTGATGAGACCAGCTTGGTTTTGTGTCTATCTCTGTCACCTTCTTACTTATGGGCTTCATTCCTGCGATGGCCTTATGTTTTGATGCTCATTTTTTTTAAAACCTAGCTGCTTTTCTGAGCTCACTTTCAACACAGCTTAAAGTCTTATCAAGAGTGGTTTTGTCTGCTCTTCCTCCCCTCACAAGTTCAAGGGTCTTCTTCACTAGGTAGGACCACTGTGTCTTCTTTCTCAGTTGTCCATGAACAACTGGGCTCTTGAGCCTCACTGAGGAAAATGCTGCTTTGGGTATGAAGCAATTGATTTCTGGTATACCAGAGGGCAACAGGTGCTAGGGTTTGACAACTGTTTCAGTAATAGGCAAGCCTGTCTGAAGAGGCCTAGTCAAACAAGGTTTTTGGTTAGAAGCTCTGATTCTAGACCTTGACTGCTGGTGTTTCAACCCTTGCTCCAGTACTTGGTAGCTGTGTGACATAGGGCACTTAACACAAGGTTTTTTTTTTTGGAGTTGGAGTCTCACTCTATCGCCCAGACTGGAGTGCAGTGGCTGCTCCCGGCCACCGCAGCGTCTGCTGGACTCCGGCAATCCTTCCCCTCAGCCTTCCAAGTAGCTGGAATTACAGGCATGCGCTACCACGCCCGGCTGATTTTTTTTTGATTTATTGTAGAGATGAGGTCTCGCTGCCCAGGCGGGTCTTGAACACGCAGGCTCAGGCAATCCACTCACCTCAGCCTCCCAAAGGCGCGGGATTACAGGCTGAGCCACCGAGCCCGACTACAAGTTTTGAACATTTAATGATATTATTGTGTTTATTACTAACTGAATTTGAAACTCATCAGTGAGAATGAAGATGACACTCACAATCACTCCTGGTTTTTTCTGGCAGAGTCTCTTTCAAAAAATTGTGAGGGCTGGGCTCGGTGGCTCAGCCTGTAATCCCGCGCCTTTGGGAGGCTGAGGTGAGTGGATTGCCTGAGCTCGCGGGTTCGAGACCCGCCTGGGCCGCGAGACCTCATCTCTACAATAAATCAAAAAATCAGCCGGGCATGGTAGCGCACGCCTGTAGTTCCGGCTACTTGGAAGGCTGAGGCGGAAGGATCGCCGAAGTCCAGTGGGTTGAGGCTGCGGTGGCCGGGAGCGGCCACTGCACTCCAGTCTGGGCGACAGAGTGAGACTCCAACTCAAAAAAAAAAAAAAAAAATTGTGAGAATTTATTCCTCACAATAAGTATTTATTTAATTGGCCTTCCTGCAGTACACTTTCTCGTAGTTACTAACTGCTTTGTTAGTGAGAAACAGACCACTTATTCTCGCTGTCCTGCTGATTTGTGATCAACTCTTTCTTCCACACCAGAGTTTATGGTCACTGATAGAAGGGATTGTTTCTTACCCACTGTTGTTGTTTCTTTCCTCTTTTCTTTTTTTCAGTTACTTCTCAGCCGAGACTCTTATGCGTTGTTTTATCTTCAACATCTAACTTAGTGCT